AGCATATTCAGTTATCAGACACGACTGGAACTTCAAATAGGACTGACTTCTATGGTCAGATGAAACTAAAAAATGAGCTTTTTAGCAGCAGACACTCAAGATGGGTTTGGTGAACACAGGGATAAAAAGTACCCCTTGTGTACAATGAAATATACTGCTGTATTTTTGATGTTGTGGACCTATATTTCTGCTGGAGGTCCTGGACATCTTGTTTAGACACATGGCATCATGGATTCTATCAAATACCAACAGATAAAAAATCAATAAGTGACTGACTCTGTTAGAAATCTTATAATGGGCCATGTTTGGATCTTCCAACGTACAATAATCCAAACACAAACTTTAAAAACAACACAAAAATGGGTCACTGAGTACAAAACCAAGCTTCTGCTATGGCCATTCCAGTCCTCTGATCTGAACCCTGTAGAAAATGAGTGTGGTGCATTAAAGAGGAGAAGCACCATCATGGAGCTTGGAATCTAAAGGGTCTAGAGTGATTCTGGATGAAGGAATGGTCTCTGATCTCTTGTCAGGTGTTCTCTAACCTCATCAGGCATTATAGAAGAAAATTTAGAGCTGTTAAACTGGCAAATGGAGGTTTCAAAAAGTATTGAATACAAGGGTGCCGTATTAGAGAAAAACATTTATTTCATAATGATATTTCCCCCCATTTTAAATACTTATTATCCAATAAAAGGTTCGATTTTTTGGGATTTTTTTAAATAAAAGACCAAAAGGATTAACAATGCAGATTAATTTTCACAACCTTCTTTGATCATATTTACTAAGGGTGCCAATATTTTTGACCATGACTGTGTGTATATATATATACCTTGCTACACTGCATTAGGCTAACCGAGTCTTGTCATTTGCACTTATATATTGTTGCTCTTTTGTTAGTTTTGACTGCTTTTATTGTCCTCATTTGTAAGTCGCTTTGGATAAAAGTGTCTGCTAAATGACTAAATGTAATACAATGTAAATGTAATTCCCGACAGTTAGACCTAAGTGTAAAACCATTTAATCCCTTATATAGAGGAGTAGAAATGTGCAGTTCTGTGACATAAATCTTGTTTCTAGAAACAAAAGATTAAGAGTTATCCTAGTCACCCAATGTAATCATGCATTTCATTCAAGATTCAAGGTGCAACACCAAATATGGACTCTAAAAAGAGTTATTATATGACTTTTTAGATGCTTCTGTAATGTGAAAATTTTCAGAATAGATCAATTTAATTGACTGGACATGGTCTGGATATGACATTTGGAACTGGGTTAGTAATATTAGCAATGAATGAAATGAAAGCCATTTTGATGAAAGATAACGCAGACAAATATTTTGTTTCTTTGGAATAACATGCATCAATGAATCTTGCACAGTATGTGCATTAATAAACTAAACAAAGTCACTTTTGTTTTTTTGTTTACTTATGTAGACATGCTGAGTTTGTTAATGGGGTCACAACTGTACCCGCATATCTTTATGAGTCAGAAAAGGCAAAAAAAGAAATGTGTTTCCTCCCTGTTAGTGACGTCAGTTACAGATAATTGCCTACAGCAATGCCATACTATAGGAAACGGTGCCTTTTCCTGTTACTATAGGGCATATCCTAAAATAAAAAAGAGCTTCCCATGTCCAGTGATTCCTTTGGGTTAAAGCTGCTTCTTAATAATCCAGCCAACCTGCTTTATTTTTTTTCACTGAAATAACGTTGTAGTCTTTAGGAATTGTTGAATAGTTTAAAGTGATCAGCTCTGTTTACTTCCATTCAGCAGACACACTGTGGCGGAGGAGGTGCACATTCAAGATATTTGCAAGGTCTTTTTTTAGACAAAAAGGAAGTTTCTTTCTAATAAGCTCTGTAGTAGGTGCAGTGCTGTGGAAAAAAGCAACAAACCACAAAGGCTGTGTGGTAAAGTGAGAGAGTGTTGTTGGCGCGATGGTCTTGAGTGACCTGCATGTATAAAAAGTCAGCAACAATATGATTTAACACACAAATGTTCAGTTAGTAATTCAGTTTATTAATTAAAATCATAGCAGTTCTTCCACCCTGGTAATAAACGCAACCCTGTTATAGAGCCTAAACTTTCCTTTTTATATTTAAGAAAGACTTTACAGACTAGAAGTTTTTATTTGAATAAATGTTGATGTGATTTCAGCTCCTGCATATGAAGAGCAACAAGTATTTGACGGTGAATAAGCGTCTCCCAGCATTGCTGGAGAAGAACGCAATGCGTGTCACTCTTGATGGGACGGGGAATGAGGGATCTTGGCTTTTCATCCAACCTTTCTGGAAGCTCAGAGCCCGTTTTTTTAATGCCATGCATTTACCTGCACACCTAATAATTACATATCATAGTCTATACGAATATAGACACGCATACTCAGCGCACACACAGCCCACATACCCACTCGCAAAGTTAAGTAAAATGCATGCAAATGACCCTATACACATATAAACAAGTTTGCCGAGCTAATCCGACTTTAAATGTTTATAGATTGCTTCTCCCTTGTGTAAACTGATAGAGATGTACATATTTGCTCTTTAGATATCTATGGCTGTGACAGTCATATTGAGCCCCTCACTGAATCGTTTGTACTCAATTTCAGGTGGTAGTTGGAGATAAGGTGATCATGAATCCTGTGAATGCTGGACAGCCTCTTCATGCCAGTAATTACGAGCTTCCCGATCACCCAGGGTGCAAAGAGGTGGGCCTGTTTGAGAAGACATGATCAGTTTGCCTTGAAGTCCTTTTGTCAACATGCCTGTGAAGTAGACAGATGGATTGTGGTTGATTACAAGACAAATTTACTTGTGGCTTAACTTAAGACTGTGAACTAGTTGCTGTCATTTCTCCAAAATGTACATGTTTTCTGAGATTAATAATGGTTCTGTGAAGGAAAGTCCACAAAATAAGCTGAAATAAGTGCTGTGTGCCACTGTCTTCTAATAATGTAAGACTGCTCCCTACAGATCAATTCAGTCAACAGCAACACCAGCTGGAAGATCAGTCTCTTTATGATGTTCAGTGACCATAAAGATGAAGTCCTTAAGGGAGTAAGTGCAACGAGCACATGCAAAAGTCATTATTACAAACTTGTGCTGTAGTTCGTACCAACAAATCTATGCTGTTTGCTGTTTTTAAGCTGTATTGCATGTTTTCAGCTTTTGCATTCACCATAGCCACATTTTCAGTTTTATGATATATATCCAAAGCCAAGCCAGTTGTGTTGATATCTCATAATAAAAGTCATATTCATGCATAGGGAGATGTGGTGAGGCTTTTCCATGCAGAACAGGAGAAGTTTCTGACCTGTGATGAGTACAAGTCTAAGCTGCATGTGTTCCTGCGCACAACTCTGCGTCAGTCCGCTACTTCAGCCACCAGCTCTAATGCATTATGGGAGGTTGAGGTAAGAGCCTCCTCATAGATTGATTTAGCAGATTTCCTGCTAAGTCCTGGTAGGATTTAGATTCGGATGTGTGTGGGACCATGTCCTCAAAAAAGCCAAATTAATTTGTATTACAATTAGAAATGTATTCAAAATAGATTAATTTTTTTTATTTTAATTTATATATTATATCATGTAGTGTTTTTAGAAGCCTGTTACCTGATTCTTTTTATACGATGTGAAGTTGCAATCATGAGATACATTTATCAATTTGAACTTTTAAGGATACATTTTTTCTATTTGGAGGTGGAAAGGTGCCTCCATAGTGACATAATGTTTGCTTGTTGGTTGTAGGTGGTTCACCATGATCCGTGCCGTGGAGGAGCAGGACATTGGAACAGCCTGTACCGATTCAAACACTTGGCCACAGGAAACTATCTTGCTGCTGAAGTAAAACCCTCCAGATTTATAGTAATCTCATGTATGGTTTGTTAATATTAGAAGGACTTATTTACATATATATACATCTGTGTTGCAGGAGAACCCAGGTTATAAAGAAAACAGCAATGATATAGAGGTAGGTTAAAATGTTATGTTCTGTATGATCTATTGCTATATGGCATGGTAACTAATGGAAAAACTTTCTGGTAGACATCTCACTGTATAAGACTTAGATCAGGAGTTCATGAGATGTTAAAAATTACATGCAAAGACTGTTCCTATCTTATGTGTTCTCCTTTTCTCTCAGAAAAGTCACTTACTTGTACTTTGTCTATAGGTGGATAGTAGCCGAATCAAGAGAAGCCTAGGAGAGAGGATAAAATACAAGCTAGTTGCAGTGCCTCATGGGAATGACATCGCCTCTTTGTTTGAGCTGGACCCCACCACACTGCAGAAAACTGATTCATTTGTGCCACGGTATTCAATTCTATGCTTTACTCTCTCTCTGTTTGTTTTGCTGCGTTCTGTGGGATAAAGGAATTTGTTTGATTAAGATCCTGATTAAAGGATTCCTGCTGCATATTCATCTTCTCAATTTCCAACAGAAATTCTTATGTCCGATTCCGTCACCTGTGCACAAACACTTGGATCCAAAGCACCAACATTCCCATCGACATTGATGAGGAGAGGCCTATTCGATTAATGGTGAAGAACTTTCTCTGTACAGTCTGTCTAAGTTTTAGTATATTTACAGTAGGAAATTTACAAAATATCTTCATGGAACATGAACATGAATAATTTTGACCCATACAATGTATGTTTGTCTATTGCTACAAATATACCCCAGCGACTTAAGACTGGTTTTGTGGTCCAGGGTCACATTTAATTCTGACTTCACTTAATTTTATACTAGGTAAATTTAAAACATAAGTTGTGTGTTTTACTGCAGCATTCATCTATTTATTTATTTACTTTGCATTTGCTAAGTGTTGCATTAATTAAAAATAATTGAATGAATTTTATTCCACTACCGTTCAAAGGTTTGGGGTCGGTAATATTTAAAAAAAATTTTTTGAAAGAAATTTCTTATGCCAAGGCTACATTTATTTGTAACCTTACAGTAAAACTAATACTTTTGTAAAATATTACTACAATTTAAATCCATTTTGTGTTTTGGTGTATCTATCTTAACATATTATATTTTATGTAATATTTTTTATTTTTATGTTATTATATTTATTTTAATGTGTTTTAAAATGTAATTTATACCTGTCATGGCAAAGCTGAATTTATTTATTTGTTTGCTTGTGGAAATTAGATATATTTATTTCAAGATTCCTTGATGAATAGAACACTCAAAAGAACTGCATTTATTTCTATATATATTTATTTTTTCCTTTTCTTTCTCCTCTATTCCTCCTTTTCTTCTGCTAGCTGGGCACCTGCCCCACCAAAGAGGACAAGGAAGCCTTTGCCATTGTCTCTGTGCCGGTCATGGAGATTAGAGATCTAGACTTTGCAAATGATGCCAGCCTCATGTTGAGCACCGTAGTCGACAAGTTCAACTCCGGTTTCCTCAGTCCTAATGACAGAAGGTAGAGTTGACACGACACACAAGCACCAAACCAGAGTCTCAGCCTGAAGTTTTAGGCCCTAAATAGCTGTGGTTTTCACTTTGTAAATATTTGTAAAGTAAACCTATTGTAGAATATACTGTGTCGGAGCTTCATGCACCCTCTCTATGCACAGGTATGCCATTAAACTGCTGGAGGATGTGGTTTTCTTTGTCGTCGATCAGTTTAACAATGGCCAGCCAGCCCTGGAGGTGACGATGAACAAGCCCAACCGAGAGAGACAGAAACTCATGAGAGAGCAGAACATTCTCAAACAGGTAAATTGGCAGATTATGGTGTTGTCTACAGTTGAAACATCATTGTTGGTGAATGATCTAGTGGATGATTTTGCTGTCTCTATTTCTGCTTAGATATTTGGGATCATTAAAGCCCCATTTAAACAGAGGGGCACTGATCCGCCTCTGCTAACGTTGGATGAGCTGTCTGACCAGAAATACGCCCCCTATCAATACATGCTCAGACTGTGCTACAGGGTGCTGCGTCATTCACAAGAAGACTACCGTAAGAATCAGGTACTCCAATCCATACTAGCACAGGTGCACAAGAATGGTAAATTGTATGAATGGCATTCAGACTTCCTGTCACACTAGAAAGAGCCACAAGACAGCATTCAAAGATGGGGATTTGCCTTACAGGAACACATAGCCAAGCAGTTTGGAATGATGCAGTCTCAGATCGGCTATGATATTCTGGCTGAGGACACCATCACAGCCCTGCTACACAACAACCGCAAACTGCTGGAGAAACACATCACTAAAACCGAGGTGGAGACTTTCGTCAGTCTGGTTCGTAAGAACAGGGAGCCCAGGTTAGTGTTTCCATCAGATGAACCTTAAAATTATGAATTTTAAAATTGTGGTTTACAGGTCTGAAAAAGAAGTGGAAATTAATTAGTGCTGTCAAACGATTAATCGCATCCAAAATAAAAGTTTTTGTTTACATAATATGTGTGTGTGTACTGTGTATATTTATTATGTATATATAAAGACACACACATACAGCATTTATTTTTTAAATATCTACATGTATTAATGTGTATATGTTTATATTCATATATATTATGTCATATATAAATATATTTAATATATAAATGTAACATTTTTCTTAAATATATACATGCATGTGTGTGTATTTATATATACATAATAAATATATACAGTACACTCACATATATTATGTAAACAAAAACTTTTAATCGTTTGACAGCACTAAAATTTATTTAAAGTTATAAACATTTGTTGTGCTAGGATTGAAAATGCAAATTTGTGAGTGTAATGTCAATGAAAAAATGTTAATTGGCTGGAAAAGTCATGAAAAGTAATTGCTCAAATTGTTTGGTAATTAATTTATTGGTACATTTTTGAAGCTCCTTATTTCCTGCATAATTTTTTCTGCTGTGCCTAAAAAATGCAGAGGTTTTTGTTTTTACACCGAACATACAGAATAAATAATGTTTAAGTATTAATGTTTATTTCATACATGGATAGAGCTTAAATTGCTTATAATGTGCATTTGAAAATGAAAAAACCCACAGCCATCTTTGCAAATTTGTAATGAGAATAATTTATAAATCTGCTGTCAATAAAAAAGAAGCTTTAAGATCTCCCTGTGGTTTCTGCTAAAATAAAAGCTTTATGGTTCAACATTTGAAAGCAAAAAATTTAAGACAGCCACCAAAATGTGTATATTGTTATAATGTTACTGTTGTTACTATAATGATTATTATATTATAAAAATATTGAATGGGGGTGGGGAAAAATAAAGTCCTTTTTTTTGTCCATAGTTTATAACACACCTGTGTCTGTAAATGTCTATTCCATGTTTATGTTTTGATTTCCAGGTTTCTGGACTATCTATCGGACTTGTGTGTGTCCAATAATGTTGCGATCCCAGTAACTCAGGAGCTGATCTGTAAATGTGTGCTGGATGCCAAAAACCAGGATATTCTCATGAAAACTCAGTAAGTCTACGAAAAACGACGTAGTGTGTCTGTCATGGGTTATGTGCTCTTAATCGTTTGACAGCACTAAAATTAATTTAAAGTTATAAACATTTGTTGTGCTAGGATTGAAAATGCAAATTTGTGAGTGTAATGTCAATGAAAAAATGTTAATTGGCTGGAAAAGTCATGAAAAGTAATTGCTCAAATTGTTTGGTAATTAATTTATTGGTACATTTTTGAAGCTCCTTATTTCCTGCATAATTTTTTCTGCTGTGCCTAAAAAATGCAGAGGTTTTTGTTTTTACACCGAACATACAGAATAAATAATGTTTAAGTATTAATGTTTATTTCATACATGGATAGAGCTTAAATTGCTTATAATGTGCATTTGAAAATGAAAAAACCCACAGCCATCTTTGCAAATTTGTAATGAGAATAATTTATAAATCTGCTGTCAATAAAAAAGAAGCTTTAAGATCTCCCTGTGGTTTCTGCTAAAATAAAAGCTTTATGGTTCAACATTAGAAAGCAAAAAACAGCCACCAAAATGTGTATATTGTTATAATTTTACTGTTGTTACTATAATGATTATTATATTATAAAAATATTGAATGGGGGTGGGGAAAAATAAAGTCCTTTTTTTTGTCCATAGTTTATAACACACCTGTGTCTGTAAATGTCTATTCCATGTTTATGTTTTGATTTCCAGGTTTCTGGACTATCTATCGGACTTGTGTGTGTCCAATAATGTTGCGATCCCAGTAACTCAGGAGCTGATCTGTAAATGTGTGCTGGATGCCAAAAACCAGGATATTCTCATGAAAACTCAGTAAGTCTACGAAAAACGACGTAGTGTGTCTGTCATGGGTTATGTGCTCATGTGAGTTCTGTGTGTGTTTGTTAAGGCGGCGAGCCGCTAAAGACACACAGCACACCTCTGAGTATTTGGAAGAGTTTGGAGAGGAGGATGAAGTTTGGCTGATCTGGTCTGAGAAGGAGAGTGAGACCCATGAGAAGAGCATTCGACAGCTTGCCCAAGAGGCCCGACAAGGGAATGTGCATGACGAAAATGTGCTGACATATTACAGGTAATGAAAAGGAGAAACAACCAGGCCTGTTAGTTGATTAAACCCTTTATTAAATTATCATCATAAATGGCATGCTGCAATAATGTAGTACAGTCAGCTGTATAGACTTATAGCTGATTGTACTAAATGAACATGTTAAATTGACAGCAGATTATTTTACTATTTTATTATTGCTGGCAATATTTCTTTCTTTTCATCTGCTTACAACTGCACAAATATATATTGTTTTTTTTCCAGGTACCAGCTCAAACTGTTTGCACGAATGTGTTTTGCATGGACACCAAACTGAAGATCCTGGAGATATTACAGGTAGACGCTGTCGAAGATGGCAACAGCTTTATGCTGTCAGTGCTGGCAATATCTGAAAATCCTAATGGTTTTGTGCAGTTCATCCTCAGTGTACGTCTGGACTATCGGCTTTCCTTCTTGCTCTCCGTCTTCAAGAAGGAGTTTGTGGAAGTCTATCCTATGGGTGATGCAGATGCAACGCATCATACAGAGCATGAGGGTAATGATGTTTAGATAAATAGTCTAAATGAAACTCTTGTAAGTGTCACAACCTGACTACTAATCAAATAACATTTATAATATTAATATAATCAATCAACAATCTCTGAAATTGCATTATATTCAAATAACAACATAACAATTCTTCCATGTACTAATCCCTCTACTCTATTTTTCATCTTTGTTTTTGTGTTTGTCTCAGAGCCTCGTTCTGGTGAGAGTGGCAATGTTTCATCATTTCTTGATTCTTAAAATGAATTCCTTAAAGGTGTAGTGTGTAATTTTTTTTGTTAAAATACTTTCTCCTATCACTAAATATATGCTGAATATGTAAAGCAACTATTAGTAAGTAATTTTTACATTGAAAAAACGGTTTTATTTCTGCAGCGTCATTTGATGCCGCTAGTGGCTCAGAAATTACACACTTCAACTTTAATGGATGACCATTTTAAATATAATTCAATTTAGGCTAGAAGTAGAAGTAGTCATGCTTGAATTTGTTTTCTGATTGTACATTTGTGTAATTTATTTATTTATTAATATTTTAAACAGCTTCCATCAACCTCCAGTACATTGGAGAGCAGGCAGAGGCCATGTTTGGAATTGGGTATGTTAATGAACAATTAATTCTATTTCCACACGACTGTTCATCATGTGTGTGACCCTTGTGCTATGTGACCTCTCTTTGACTTTACTCTGACCGTACAGTAAAGGAAACAGCATTCTGGAAGTGGACGATGAAGGGGGACGAATGTTTTTGCGTGTTCTGATCCACCTCATCATGCACGACTACCCTCCGCTGGTTTCCGGGGCCTTGCAGTTGCTCTTCAAGCACTTCAGTCAAAGACAAGAAGTCCTCCACACCTTTAAACAGGTAGAACGTACAGCCCGTTTAAACGTATACAAACAAATTGCTTTTATTGGTAAAAAGGTGTGCTTAGACAGCTCCAGGTAAAAAATCTGCAGGTATACCACATCCCTAGATGTGCAAAATGTGCTGACCATACAATTTACATTTTATTGCTCATTTGCATGCAGCAAATCACCGTTCCTGTGGCACAAAATGAAAAAGTACTCTTTCAAGTGGTTGAAATGCAAATGCTTTTGTAAAGATCAAAATTGTTGATGACAGTTTTTCATCCTGCCGTGTTTGTTCTCCTCAGGTCCAGCTTCTCATTTCAGCTCAGGATGTGGACAACTACAAACACATAAAACAAGATCTGGATCTTCTGCGCACCATGGTGGAGAAGTCTGAGCTTTGGGTCATAAAAAAAAGTAGCTCTGGGGGAGATGGGAAGAAAGACAAGAAAGACAAGAAAGACAAAAAAGAACTTGCACCAGTGAGTCATGCATGTGGGATTATGTATAACAGGATAATTAGGTGAAAGAAGCTTATTTTTATTTTCTTTTTCATGCAGGCATCTCCAGAGGAGGAGACCGATACAAAGAAACAGAAGGTTGAAACGAGCAATGAAAGCTACCAGAATGTCAAAGAGGTGATGGTTTTGCACATGTTCTTAATGTATTTGTCTGTTGATCAATAATATATTAGATTAATTACAGTGGGGTCTAAAAGTCGGAGATAGTATATTGCACTACTGTTCAAAAGATTGGGGACAGATTTAAAAAAAAAAATTTTTATACTTTTGTTCAGCAAGAATGTGTTAAATTGATCAAAAGTGACAGTAGACATTTATAATGTGGCAAAAGATATATATTGCAAATAAATGCTTTTGAACTTTCTATTCATCAAATAATTCTGTAAAAAATTGATGTTTTCCACAAAAATATCAATCACTGCAACTGATTTCAACATTGATAGTAATTATACGAATAAGCAAATTAGAATTATTTTGGAAGGATCACGTGACACTGAAGACTAAGGTAATGGCTGTTGAAAATTCTGCTTAAATTTAAATTGTAATGTTTCACAATAATACTGTTTTTTACTGTATTTTTTATTTAAATACCTGCCTTGGTGAACATAAGAGACATCTTTCAAAAAAATTACTGACTGACCTCAAACATTTGAACAGTATATGATAATAAAAGTTATTACTTTTTTGTATGCACATACAGTGGGGCAAAAAAGTATTTAGTCAGCCACCAATTGTGCAAGTTCTGTCTCTCATAGTTGAGGTATCCCAATGATGAAAATTACAGGCCTCTCTCATCTTTTTAAGTGGGAGAACTTGCACAATTGGTGGCTGACTAAATACTTTTTTTTCCCCACTGTATATGCACATATATGCAGCTTTTTAATTTTCTGTTTAGTGTACAGTATATATAAATGTGTATAGATGGATAGAAACTTGGTAAATGAACAAACCAGTATTTTTGCAATAATTAAATCTTTTCTCTGATCTCCAGATTTTAGAGCGTTTGAATAAAATGTGCAGTTCAGGTGTATTTAAGAAACAACAAAGGCTATTGAAGAACATGGGTGCCCACAAAGTTATGCTTGACCTGCTGCAGATCTCCTATGATCGGGTTTGTGGTCTTTTTTGAAGCAGATAAAATCTATGGTCGATGTGAAGCATGGTCTTGGCCTTGTCCTTCACTAAACGCATGATTTTTAAATTTCTTTTAACAGAATGACACCAAAATGCTTGAGATCATCAAGTACACGCACCTGTTCTTACAGAAGTTCTGCACAGGGAATCTGGAGAACCAAAACCTCCTCCATAAACACCTCAACCTCTTTCTCACACCTGGGGTGAGTGCAAAGCGTGGCGCTTAAAATAGCCTAAGATGTTTATCATGCTTTCATGGTGTTCTCTTTTCTGGTTTTTGTTTTGTCTCTCTCAGCTCCTAGAGGCAGAAACAATGCAGCACATTTTTTGTAATAATTACCAGCTCTGTTCTGAGATCAGCGAGTCTGTGCTGCATCATTTCATCCATTGCCTGGCCACACATGGCCGCCACATTCAGTACCTCAACTTTCTGCACACCATCATTAAGGCAGAGGGGAAATATGTGAAGAAATGTCAAGACATGATCATGACTGAGGTTTGTTATTGTGATCGAAATAAAGTAACCTTGAGTTATTGAACAGCGTGTATTCTTTTTAACCATTTGTAATCATTTTAAGAAATTGTGAGATTTAAGAAATTTTCAGAAAAACAACTTTAATTGAAATATTAAATATTGAAGTGCTGATTTGAGATTTTGCGATATATTTGTTTCTAATATTCTATTAATATTTTATGCTATTCATTTTGAGATGCTTTTTTTTTTTATTGGTAATTTTTCAAGGAAATGTCCATTCAATTGATGGTATATGCAGTGTACAAGACATCAGCATGACCTGTGTTCTCTGTTAGCTCACAAGTGCGGGTGATGACGTGGTCGTCTTCTACAATGATGACACATCATTTGACACCATGGTGGAACTGATGACACAGTCTAGGGAAGGGGTGAAGGACGACAGCCCTCTGCGGTACCATATTTCTCTGGTAGAGCTGCTGGCTGCATGTGCAGAGGGCAAAAACGTCTACACTGAGATCAAGTGCACATCTCTGCTGCCCCTGGAGGACATGGTGAAAGTAATCACACATGAAGACTGTATCACAGAGGTAAATCAGATGATGGTAGACATGAAATGAAAGTGCTTATTTTTAAAATGTGTCATGTTTCTTTTTTTCCACTTATCCTGAATCATTATCTTCAGCCTCCCAATATTTGTTTGTTACAAGAGCCAGTTAATGGATTACTTTATAATTTATAGCATGAACATGTTTGGGGGGGAAAACGAAAAGCCGGCTGCATATGACTGATCAAAAAATTTTGGAATCTCCTCTGTGTCATGCAGGTGAAAATTGCATATGTAAACTTTGTGAACCACTGCTATGTAGACACAGAAGTGGAGATGAAAGAGATATACACCAGCAACCACATCTGGAAGCTGTTTGACAACTTCACTGTAGATATGGCTAGGGTGAGTCCACTGATGCTAGATAAGATGTGTGTAAGAATAAGGAGTTTCATTAACTTGGTTTAATTGGAATTCCAGGTGTGCTCCAACCGTGAGAAACGCATGTCAGACCCTGTGCTGGAGAAGTATGTGATTCAAGTGGTTTTAGACACTGTAAATGCCTTCTTCAGCTCTCCCTTCTCAGAGAACAGCACCAGCACAGAGGTGAGGCATCAATAGTAATATTTCTGGTCTCTGCCACTTCAACCTTTATTCATTGTGATTTACGACAGATTTCTACAGAAGTTTCTGTTTAAATGAAGAATTGATGCATTTGAGAAATTTAGTGAAACAAAACTATTAAAGGATTAGTTCACCCAAAAATGAAAATTAGCCTGTGATTTACTCACCCTCGAGTCAGCCTAGGTGTATATGGCTTTCTTCTTTCAGATGAATCCAATCGGAGTTCTATTAAAAATTGTCCTGGCTATTCCAAGCTCTATCATTGCAGTCGGCGGGTGTTTCTGTTCAACAGTCCAAAAGACGTCAAATAAAGCATGCGCATCCATAATAAAACGTGCCTCACACGGCTCCAGGGTGTGAATAAAGGCCTCCTGTAGCGAATCCATGCATTTTTGTAAGAAAAATATCCATATTTCAAACGTAATAAACACTTCTCTCTCACTTCATCTAACTGTCAAAAGCGGAAGCCATTCTGGCGGATGACGTAAGACGTCGGCGTTGCGTGATTAGAGACGAACGCGGAGAGAGAACAAAACTAAACGCCGGTCACGAATTAGAAATACAAACCGAGGATTTGTAAAGTGAAATTTTGGAGGATTTTGATATAAGCCAAGAGGAGACTGGTTTTCCTTTGCTAAAGTAAGGAAACTTTGCTTCCTTTGCTCCTGTAAACAAACTCGCGAGACTAGCATATCTCAGAGGCGCGCGCTGTGCATACGTCCTACGTCATCCGCGTATGACAGATAGCAGAAGTGAGAGAAAAGTGTTTATTACGTTTGAAATATGGATATTTTCTTACAAAAATGCATGGATTCGCTACAGGAGGTCTTTATTCACATCCTGGAGCCGTGTGAGGCATGTTTTATTATGGATGCACACACTTTATTTGACGTCTTTTGGACTGTTGAACAGAAACACCCACCGACTGCAATGATAACGCTTGGAATAGCCAGGACAATTTTTAAAATAACTCAGATTGGATTCATCTGAAAGAAGAAAGTCATAAACACCTAGGATGCCTCGAGGGTGAGTAAATCACAGGCTAATTTTCATTTTGGGGTGAACTAACCCTTTAAAACTAGAATTGTATTCAAAGGAATTGCCAAAAAAAATCTTGATTCAACACTATTCCCATTTAATTAGAATATGTTCCAGGTAAATACACTTCTGTTCAAAGGTTTGGGGAAGATTTTTAAAAATGTTTTTGAAAGAAGTTCATTTATTGGATCAAAATTACTGTAAAAACAGTAATATTGTGAAATATTATTACAGTTTCAAATAAATTTTTTTATATATGTTGAAATGTTATAAAATAAAATTTATTCCTGTGATGGCAAAGCTAGCTTTTCAGCAATCATTACTCCAGTGTCACATGATCCTTCAGAAATGTTTCTAATATGCTGATTTGGTGCTCAAAAAACATTTATTATTATCAGTGTTTAATACAGTTGTGCTGCTTAATATTTTTGTGAAAATCATGGTACATTTTAATAGGATTTAATTAAAAAAGAAATTTATAACAATGTACAAGCCTTTACTTTCACTTTTAAACAATTTAATGTCATTGCTGAATAAAAGTATTAAGTTAAAGTTCACATTTAATTCTCCAGGTTTCTCTTTCTCCCTCTCATTTTCTCTTTCTTTTGTCTTATTCAGGCTCATCACACCATTGTTAAGCAGCTGCTGCAATCTACTATGCGTCTGTTAGATTGTCCCTGGCTACAGCCACAACAAAAAGTCCAAGTAGAATCCTGCATCCGAACTCTGGCGGTGACAAGTAAGTCAACTTGTTTGAGAGTAGATGGATTCTAAGGCATAAAAAAAGTAAAAAAAAATTATTATACAGGCCTAAAATGTGGCAGGAGTTTCAGTTCTCTTCTCATATATAGTAAAGGTTTTTGAAGTATGACCAGACAACTTATTTGTTTACCTGACTGTTCCCACAGCAAAGAGTCGCTCCATCCCTCTGCCGGTAGAGTTGGAGGCTCATGTCAATATGATGTTGAGTCTCAGTAATGCCCTCACACTGTCTCGCTCCAGCCTCAGCAACAAAAGCCTGTCACGCCTCACACGGCCTGCTGCTCCCACCAACTCCTGGGACTACAAGAACATCATTGAGAAACTACAGGTGCCTATATGCATGTGTGATTTAATCTCCTTTTAGATTTTGGAGCCAAGTGACTTCCAAAAGTAATTGATATTAAAAAGGTCTTAAGCAACTTGTGCATGACACTCCTGGACTGTATTGCATATGACACAATTCAGACTTGACTTTAGTTTGTTTGAGTTATATTTCTATCAATAATAATGTATACTGTAAATGTAGTGTATTAATGTTTCTGTAACACTCTTAGGATATCATTAACACACTGGAGGAGCGTGTGATGCCGTTGGTTAATGCAGAGCTGTCAGTGCTGGTGGATGTGCTGCACCAGCCCGAGCTGTTGTTCTTTGCTCCAACCGTGAGAAGCGCATGTCAGACCCTGTGCTGGAGAAGTATGTGATTCAAGTGGTTTTAGACACTATAAATGCCTTCTTCAGCTCTCCCTTCTCAGAGAACAGCACAAGCACAGAGGTGAGGCATCAATATTCTTTCAAAGTCTTATTTCTGGTCTCTGCCACATCAGCCTTTATTCATTGTGAATAGCACAGATCTTTGGATTGAACCTTTTCTCGTGTGTTAATTTAAAAAAAACTGCATTTTAGAAATTTAGTGAAACAAAACTACAAAAACTTAACATTTTAGTCAAAGGAATTGACAAAAAACATTTAGAATATGTTCCAAGTAAATACACTTCTGTTCAAAAGTTTGGGGAAGATTGTCTCACATGATCCTTCAGAAATAATTCTAATATGCTGATTTGGTGCTCAAGAAGCATTTCTTATTATCAGTGCTTAATACAGTTGTGATACATTTTTGATTAACAGAAAGTTTAAAATAAAAGTATTTCTTTGAAAAAAAAAAAGTTTTGTAATAATGTAAAAGCCTTTACTTTAGAGCAATGTAATGCCTTTGCTGAATAATAATTAAAAAAAAAAACCTTAATGACCTCAAACTTTTGAACGGAAGTCTGAAATCTGAATATATGAGTTATTTTTTAGAGAAGAAGATAACTTTACAGGAGGAATAATACGATGAATATTATAGCTGTTATATAACGTCTATCATATCACATAACAAATGCTTTTCCGATTTCATAAGTTCACATTTAATTCTCCAGGTTTCTCTTTCTCCCTCTCATTTTCTCTTTCTTTTGTCTCATTCAGGCTCATCACACCATTGTAAAGCAGCTGCTACAGTCTACTATGCGTCTGTTAGATTGTCCCTGGCTACAGCCACAACAAAAAGTCCAAGTAGAGTCCTGCATCAGAACTCTGGCAGTGACAAGTAAGTCAACTTGCTTTCTAAGAAAATAGATGCATTCTAATGGATAAAAAAAAGTTTAAGTTAAAAACAATTATTTTACAGGCCTAAAATGTGGCAAGAGTTTCAGTTCTCATATGCAATAAAGGTTTTTGAAGTACGACCAGACAACTTATTTGTTTACCTGACTGTTCCCACAGCAAAGAGTCGCTCCATCCCTCTGCCGTTAGAGTTGGAGAATCACGTTAATATAATGTTAAGTAACATTAACGCCCTCACACTGTCCCGCTCCAGTCACAGCAACAAAAGCCTGTCACGCCTCACACGGCCTGCTGCTCCCACCAACTCCTGGGACTACAAGAACATCATTGAGAAACTACAGGTGCCTATATGCATGTGTGATTTAATCTCCTTTTAGATTTTGGAGCCAAGTGACTTCCAAAAGTAATTGATATTAAAAAGGTCTTAAGCAACTTGTGCATGACACTCCTGGACTGTATTGCATATGACACAATTCAGACTTGACTTTAGTTTGTTTGAGTTATATTTCTATCAATAATAATGTATACTGTAAATGTAGTGTATTAATGTTTCTGTAACACTCTTAGGATATCATTAACACACTGGAGGAGCGTGTGATGCCGTTGGTTAATGCAGAGCTGTCAGTGCTGGTGGATGTGCTGCACCAGCCCGAGCTGTTGTTCTTGGAAGGCACGGATGCTCGATCACGCTGTGAATCAGGAGGCTTCATATCTAAGTGAGTCACTTCTGTTTAAACTGGGACTACATTTACCATACAGCTTTTTAGCATGCATTTTGTGGCTAGATCAAATAAGCACAGAATTTATGTTGCATAATGCTGTATTACTATTTGTGAGGGTGCGTCGTCATCACCTTGCTCTTTAACTTTGTGCAGATTGATTCAGCACACAAAGGCTCTTATGAATTCAGATGAGAAGCTCTGTATCAAAGTGCTCAGAACTCTACAGGAAATGCTCATTCGTGAACTGGACTTTGATGAGAAGGTGAGATTAGATTATACTATTAATAATATCACCATGCAATCAAACAATTTCTCATACAAATGTAAATGATCAAATTAGCATATTAACTAGATGATGTAAAAAAATCAATTTATACATTTTAATCATTATCTTTCAAAAAAATAGTGAAGTATGCCGTTTTAAAAAAATTCAAAAATATATTCTTAGTTTAACTTAATATTCTAAATAATAAATATTTAATATGAATATAATATTTACAATACAACATACATTCTGTTCTAAGGTATTCCTAAATAATCAGAAACATTTTAGAAATATTAAATTGTTACTTTTTACATGGAGAAAAACTTTATTCATGAGAATTGCATAACCTGCCGTTTATCCTTTTGTTTTTACAAATTGAGGATTGAGTTTAAATTATTTTACAGTGTGTCTGTGGACAGTTGTATTTAACCTAGAATATTGCTAGGTGTTATTTCCAGAGTAAAAAGAAACTTATTTTAATGCCAAAAGTTGTTATTTTTGGGTGGGTTAGTTTGGGCTCTGTAGTCATTGTAATTGATTTAATTTAACAATAAAAGTGCTTTCTTTTGCAGGGCTTTGCCTTAAGGAAGGTATTGCTCCAAAACTACCTCTATACCAACATAAAGAACATCAAAGCAGAGCTTATTGAACATGGAGGAGGTAATTTTTAAATTACTGATGAAAAATCAATTAATTAATATCACACAAAAAAGAGTGTTTGATTTGGACTGGTTTTGTAATTGTTAGCCGGATCAGCACAAAACATTCTTTGTGGATGTCTTGTGTAAAATATTGGTGGATGTCTTGTGTAAAATATTGGTGTGTGTATGTGTTTATTTTTGGGTGGGTTAGTTTGGGCTCTGTAGTCATTGTAATTGATTTAATTTAACAATAAAAGTGCTTTCTTTTGCAGGGCTTTGCCTTAAGAAAGGTATTGCTCCAAAACTACCTCTATACCAACATAAAGAACATCAAAGCAGAGCTTATTGAACATGGAGGAGGTAATTTTTTAATTACTGATGAAAAATCAATTAATTAATATCACACAAAAAAGAGTGTTTGATTTGGACTGGTTTTGTAATTGTTAGCCGGATCAGCACAAACCATTCTTTGTGGATGTCTTGTGTAAAATATTGGTGGATGTCTTGTGTAAAATATTGGTGTGTGTATGTGTATGTGCAGGTGGAGAAGGAGAGAAAGACTGGCTGGCAGTTACAGCATTACAATGTCGTCTGGACAAAGAAGGTGGCACCAAACTCTTCATAGACCTCATAACCAGCTCTAAGAATGAGAAGATCTTTCAGGAGAGCATTCAGCTCGCCATCTGTCTGCTGGAAGGTGGCAACACTGAGATCCAGGTGGGAAAGCAGCTTCCGTAAAAATATAAATTTAGTCATAAATATTGTTACATTTTCAAGGAAAAGCACCCATTATTATATATAAATTGTTTCCTGTTTTTAACAGAACTCCTTCTACAAACTCATGATGGGAGACAACAAGTCGGAGAAGTTTTTTAAAGTACTGAATGACCGCATGAAGAACGCACAGCTGGACATCAAATCCACCATCTCCGTCAACGTGGGAGAAATGAGCAATAAAGCCAAAGATGACAAAGATATGGAGACGGGTAATTTGAAAAAAGTGCATGAAGTGCACGCATGAGAGGAAAGGGTCAAAATTATTCTGTTATTAAGTTTATAAAGTTATGCTACACCTTATATATTTACTATACATTTCTAATAAATGAAATCGTTGAATCTACATCCATTGCTGACTCTGACAATGGTTTCCTATCGGTGCAGGGCCTTCCTTTGGCCAACCTGAGCAGCCACCTCAACCTGAGCAGCAGGAAGTAGATACAGAAATGGGCCCCTCTGTCACCATTATGAAACCTATTTTGCGCTTCTTACAGCTGCTCTGTGAGAACCACAAAATTAAGTTTATAAAGTTATGCTACACCTTATATATTTACTATACATTTCTAATAAATGAAACCGTTGAATCTACATCCATTGCTGACTCTGACAATGGTTTCCTATCGGTGCAGGGCCTTCCTTTGGCCAACCTGAGCAGCCACCTCAACCTGAGCAGCAGGAAGTAGATACAGAAATGGGCCCCTCTGTCACCATTATGAAACCTATTTTGCGCTTCTTACAGCTGCTCTGTGAGAACCACAATCAGGATCTTCAGGTCTGAACAACCCCAGATTAACAATCCGCTTAGCACACTGCTTAAACCACAAAAGAAAACAATAGAGGAAGGAGAGGAAAGCATCTCTTCTATGGTAACTTCAGTATTTTACTTTTAGGACTAGGAGCACATTTTCAATATTTCCTAGAACATGCATACCGTATGTAAGACATTACATTTTCTGTTTTTGAGATTTTTGCTTGTTTTTTAAGCTCACCTTAAACAAACAACAGGAGGAACAACAGGAGGATCCATTAGAGTACTATGACCGTCAAACAGCTCAGATTGAGGTAATAAAAGAAATCTCTTTGTGTGTTGTAATCCATGCTCTTATTGTAATTTCTGATCTCCTGTCTCCAAATAGAATATAAGTGAATGTTGTGGCTAATGTGAATAAAATTAATTTGGGATTATGAGAAGTTGTGAAGTAGTTTCCGTTGGCATGTCACATGCAGATTGTGCGGGAGGACCGTAGCATGGAGCAGATAGTGTTTCCTGTTCACCCCATCTGTGAGTTCCTGACGGAAGATTCAAAGGTCCGTGTGTTTACCACCACAGAGCAGGACGAGCAGGGCAGCAAGGTCACACAATTTTTCGAACAGACCTCTTTCCTGCACAATGAAATGGAATGGCAGAAAAAACTTCGAAGTAAGTATTGGGCTTGGGGTGCTGTGGCTTAGTGAGTTCAAACTGTCCTTAACACAGGTTTATTGTGATGTTTGTGTGTTTTAGGCATGCCAGTGCTGTATTGGTTCTCTCGTCGAATGTCTCTCTGGGGCACCATATCATTCAATCTGGCTGTGTTTGTCAATCTTATCATCGCTTTGTTCTACCCACATGACTCTGGTCATTCTGGTATGTTTATGTGTGCATTATCTGTTGGTAACTTTAGTGTATTAATTGTATAAATGCTGCATTTACCATCAATTTCAAAGCACACAAATATGGACCAACAGTTGGCTTCCTAAATATGCTTTTCCATGTAGTTTTACCAGGTTCTTGTGCTTCCAGGTAGCATAGACACTTCGTTGCTGCTTATGCTGTTCTGGTGCTTCGCTGGACTGGCTGTTTTGGGCCTGTTATCCAAGCGCTATGGGTTCCAGTCCCTCACTGTCGCCATCACCCTGCGCTGCATCTATCACTTTGGCATCGGGCCAACTCTCATCCTGCTTGGGGCTCTCAATGTAAGTCTGACATACCATAATACTATATGTTTTCTTAAATAAAAATGAATGGATTTAATTCCAAATTTCTCTTTTTAACCAGCTGATCAATAAGATAGTGTTTGTGGTGAGCTTTGTGGGAAACAACGGCACCTTTATCATGGGCTATAAAGCCATGGTAATGGATGTGGAGTTCCTGTACCACCTGGCCTATGTGTTAACCAGCACGCTGGGGCTTTTTGTCCACGAGCTCTTCTACAGCATATTGGTGGGTGTTAAAAAATTTATTAAAAAAAATTAAGAAATTAATACTTTAATTCAGCAAGGATGCATTAAATTGATCAAAATGTTACATAGTTGCAAAACATTTCAAATAAATGCTGTTCTTTTGAAATTTTGATACATAAAAAATGAAACCATTTTTACGGTTTACACCAAAATATTAAGCAGTACAACTGTTTTATGTTGATTTTACACTACATTCAATATTTTAATAATAAATTATTTGTTCTTGAGTATCAAGTCAACATATTAGAATAATTTCTGAAGGATCATGTGACACTGAAGACTGGTGTCTGCACAGGAATAAAATATATTAAAATAGAACAAAAATAGCAATAATATTTAACAGTATTGTTGTTTTACTGTGTTTTGATCAAATAAATCCAGCCTTGGTGAGATTTCTTCCAAAAACATTTAAAAATACGGTAGTACAAAACTGTAGCTTAATTGTTTACTTTTTTGCTTTTCTGCAATGTATTAATCGTCAATATTGTAAATATTCCACAAAACGTTTGCCAAGCACCAAATGCCAGGAAAATAATTTTTGGTGAGTAAATAAAACTGAGATGCTGTACTCACCAGTGAAAATCTAATGGTTTTTAAATGAAATGAGAAACTGTGACATGATTTTGTATGACTGAAAGGCATAAATATTCTGCTAATCATTTCTCACTTCTCTTTTACCTCCTTCAGCTGTTTGATCTGATCTACCGCGAGGAGACGCTCTTTAATGTCATCAAGAGTGTGACACGTAATGGCCGCTCTATTCTCCTCACTGCTGTCTTGGCCATCATCCTTGTCTACCTGTTCTCCATCGTGGGCTTTCTCTTCCTCAGGAATGACTTCATCATGGAAGTGGACCGTCTTGCTATCCCAGATACAGGTAAATTGCATACACCTCTTTTTATCTTTGCTGTGTGTCACAAGGCCGCCTGAATAGTTTTTTGCAGAAAGGCATCAAACCCTGCGTTCGTGATAAATTTGAATTACAACATACCATTTTTTATTTATTGATGCCACAGGCTTAATGGCATGTCTTGTCCTATAAGCAGGTATAGATAACTCTATGAGCAGCTGCAGTGCTGATGGAGTGGAGTGCACAGAGGAAACTGGGTTGGTTGCATCATCAGAAGGTGAGTTTGGCATTAAAGACAATATTTTATATTACTCTACTGGCATCAGAACTCAGCTGTGAACACTTTTTTAATGTCTTTGCAGAAGAAGAGGACAACACAGAGAGAGCATGTGACACTCTTCTAATGTGTATCGTTACGGTGCTGAATCATGGGCTGAGGAACGGAGGAGGTGTGGGAGATGTCCTGCGCAAACCCTCTAAGAATGTATGGAGACCCACAATCATATAGGAATGTGCGCATGTAGGAATACAAAACCTAACCAAACTAATACAATGTTGTTCAACTTACAGGAGCCTTTGTTCCCTGCTCGTGTGGTGTACGACCTTCTCTTCTACTTCATTGTCATCATCATTGTTCTCAACTTGATTTTTGGTGTGATTATTGACACCTTTGCTGACCTGCGTAGTGAAAAACAAAAGAAAGAGGAGATACTGAAGACCACCTGTTTCATTTGTGGTAAGAAATTAGATTTAAATCTATTTGAAAGTGTTTATTCCTGTGATGGAAAAGCTGAATTTTCAGCATCATGATCATTCAGAAATAATTCTAACATGCTGATTTGCTGCTCAAGAAACATTTCTTATTATTATCAGTGTGGTGCTTAATATTTTGTGGAAACATTTTTATAGATAGAAAGTAAATAATAGAAATTTATAAAAGGCATTTATTTGAAATACATTATTTTTGTAATGATATTAATGCATTTATTGTCACTTTTGATAGATGTAATGCATCCTTGCAGAATAAAAGTGTTATTTTTTTTTTATCTTACTGACCCCAAGCTTTTGAATTCGCATTGATTTATTTTTCACAATTAAGCACATTTCCAACACTGTTTACTGCACTGCAAAATGGATTTTTGTTATATTTTCATTACTGTGATTTTCAAAAAGACACAATTTGAACATTCCTGAATACAGGCTTTATTTTATTTTTGCAAAATATAATTTCTTACTTTATTTGTTGAGTGTGAAAAATGACCCTAGTATTCCTTAACAGGCTGTATGACAGTCAAATACAAATCATCAGAGAACATTACAGAAAGGAATTGATCTGTATTTGCATTTCAACAGGTCTCGAGAGGGACAAGTTTGATAATAAGACTGTATCATTCGAGGAACACATTAAATTTGAGCATAACATCTGGCACTACCTCTGTTTCATTGTGCTGGTACGGGAGAAAAACAAGACAGATTACACTGGCCCAGAGAGCTACGTGGCCCTTATGATAAAGGTAAATTAATAAAAATGAAAAATTCCAGCTGTTTGGATACTGGTCACATTCTATATATTAACAGCAATTACCATTGTTATTTCCAATGTATTATTTCTATGCTTTTATATTATTGATTAATACTTTGAATAGTCTTTTTTCTTTAATTTTATTTGAATTAATTTTTAGTTATTTTGTTATTTCCTTTGGTCATTTTTATTATTATTATTATTACTATTTTGATATTTCTATTTCGCTTTCATTTATTTAATTCATTCTTGCTTCTCCTTGCATTGGGTTTTGATTCAGTCTTGTTGTCGCCTCTTGTTAGAATAAGAACCTGGATTGGTTCCCACGCATGCAGGCCATGTCTCTGGTTGTAACTGAGGGAGATGGAGAACAGAATGAGATGAGGAACCTGCAGGATCGTCTCACCTCCACCATGAAAGTGGTCACACAACTAACAAGCCAGTTAACAGAGCTGAAAGAGCAGGTACATTTATCAATGTCAGCACTGTTTGTCCAGCATTCATAATGTTGGTACATTAAATTGATTAATGTCTCAGATTTTAGATTCTAAAATAACGGTTGTGTATTTGTTCATTTAGATGACCGAGCAGAGGAAGAGAAGGCAGAGGATGGGTTTTGTGGATGTTCAGTCTGGCTCAAACCCTGGGATGCCTATGCCTCCTAGTGCTGCTGGAGGAAATCTTCAAGTCATCAAGACCTAATTTCTCCAGCTAACCTTGCATTGACTTTATAGAAGCAATAATGTAATCCTGTGATGCTAGTGTACTTCCCACTGTGGAAAAGTTACATTCAACGGATAGACGGATTGGATCTACACTCCCACAAAAGCACTACTGACTAAATAGTCATTCTTGAGGGGCCTTTGATTACCTGAATGGTTTTAGTATGCACAAATTTTATATATTTAAAGTATGTAATTGTTTTGTTTTTATTTTTCTAAGCAGTCTTGTTTGATGTATGGATAAACGTAGCATTACTGTAAGTAAAGCCGATGCGTTTTAGATTAGTAATTGTAGATCAATACAGTCGGATGGTTTGTTTTAATGTGCACTGATGAGTTTGTACATGCTGTATTTATAGGGATAGTCATGATGCACTGGCTTGATATGATTTGGGAAACATGAAGGGGAATATCATGACCATTCTTATGATGAACTAGAAGATGCTAACATGTCACTAGAGTCGAATCTGGGTAGTATAAATGGCATAATATATAGAAGTGTGTTTAAAGTTCATACAGCTTTAATTTAAAAGTCAAAGTGCCTAAAAATACATCAAAAGAACATAACTTTTGCTCAGGAAACTAACATGTTCCTTATTTATCTTATCATAAAAATAAGTGAGGACATGCTGATCGTGGTTTTAATAGACATAGATCTATGAATGTGTCTATTTAATTATTTATTGTGCGACCAGGACTAAGTCAGTTGCATTTTTATGGCCACAAAAAGAATGCTGGAACATACATATATTTTGGCTTCGTTAATAACAGCCAGTGTGTAATTAATCATATTGACATCAAATAATCATCAATTTATTGCTAATATGTTTATATGAAGTGCCTCACCAACTTTACACAAAATACAGAATAAAACATTTGGTTATTTGACGTCTTGTATCATTTAACATTAACAGACTAAGAGAATCGAATGAGTCACATTACTACGATATTACTATATTAAAATGTTACAAAAATCAATAGGAATTCGATTAATTTGAAACATTGCAATGACTTTTTATTCTTTTCCAAACAAAATAAATGATATCTTCCAAAGTAAACAGTCGCGTGAATGTCCATTGATTTGTCTTGTGTCAGATTACGTCCCTCTGTCACGCACACTTCACAGTATTCGGGTGTGTGCGGACTGACTGGATCAATTCCTTCGCTGTTCGTTTGAGCGTCAGGTGCCGTTCAGAAGTTCGTCCTCAGTGCAGGTCAACAGGTAGGCTAATGTTTTTCAGAATATTAACGCAATAGTTACATTTAAACAATGTGTATCAAATAAATTGACAACGAACAGGCTGTAAGATAAAACAGGTAAAACGTCACTCTGGAAATGGGAATTGCAGTTATGTAAATGAGCTAGGCCTACTTTATTCCAACAGACAGAAGATCAGTCTCAGAAATGAGGCTAAAGTCATTTGTTAAACTTATTTCTTTTGTTTTATAGAAATATAGAAGTGTTTCTTTTTGATCCTTTTTTTGATGCTGATAAGTGAAGTTTAATGAACCTCAAACCACTTGAATAGGAAAACCACATCTTGCTACCACAACTATTAGACCTCAGGCTATATAGGAGTTTGTGTGTGTATTTATTATATATTCTAATATATAATAAAATATCATATCGGCTGATATATTATTACAATACAGACCTATAATTGTTTGTTGTTGTTATTATTGTTGTTATTAACAAAAATGTCATCTATAGGCTACTATTATCAAGGCTAAAGTCATTTGTTAAACTTATTTCTTTTGTTTTATAGAAATATAGAAGTGTTTCTTTTTGATCCTTTTTTTTTGATGCTGATAAGTGAAGTTTAATGAACCTCAAACCACTTGAATAGGAAAACCACATCTTGCTACCACAACTATTAGACCTCAGGCTATATAGGAGTTTGTGTGTGTATTTATTATATATTCTAATATATAATAAAATATCATATCGGCTGATATATTATTACAATACAGACCTATAATTGTTTGTTGTTGTTATTATTGTTGTTATTAACAAAAATGTCATCTATAGGCTACTATTATCAATTAACTCTTTCGACTCGTCCGTTTTTGTTGGCCAATAGTAATACTTTTTTACGTTTAGCCTATACGTTTTATAAGGTTGATACTTTTCGGTACGTGTAATCTAGCTTTTATCAATGGAAGTGACGTCAGTGTTTTAACTTTGAGAACGGAGTGCTGAGGAAAGCGAGAGTCTGTGGGTTCCAGATAAAGCGCGGTATCGGCCACTCCCAGGTGCCCCGCGCCCTGAAACCCACTGCTCAAAATTTAGATTAGGGTCACTTTATAGGCTCTTTAAGGACCTAATTGTCGATATTATGTAACCTAATGAATAATTTACCTGGGTATCTTTCTCATAAATCTATCCTTGACAATGTTGTTACAGTATGGAAAAGTATATTTTTCACATAGCCTATAGCCTCATTTTTACCCCACTGACCATCTTTTCCGTTGTTTACAGCTGTTAAAATCATGTCTGCTTTTCTGCATCACTGCCCCTTCTTGAAGTCCACTCCAGGCCCTTCTCTAAGGAATGTGGCAGCATACTTTGGATTGGCTGACCGATGTCCGATCATTGTCCGCCAGATCTCTGTAAAAGCCACCCAGGCCTCTGAGGAAAAAGGTAATGCTGTTATTTTTGTATTTACCATACTATATTACTGTAAGGTTTTTTTTATGCAAGGTAGGCTACAATATGACTAAAAAATTCCATATTTTTATAATTAAAATCTCATTGACAACAAACATTATAAGTCAGTACCTCAGATTATCTTATATTTATGTGCTTATTGTGTTCAGGCCTCCTCCCTCATAAGGAGCCAAAGCGGCAGTTGGCGACCACAGCCACTCAGGTGGCGATCTCCATGTCCCAGAGCTGTCCCTTTATTTCCTCTAAGATCGGACTAGTTAAAGCCAGTCCACAAGTGCAGGAGGATGTCCAGCCCAATCTTGAGAATCAAGATAACTCCGGTAAAACAATCCTTCTCAGTGTGATAGATTCATGGACTGTGGATATGTGTATATATAATGTTTATATTGCTTGAGAAGCAGATATCATCTAGCTGACTGGCTGATGTGTTGCAGCAGCTGTCTCTTTCTTTCTTTTTTATCACCACAGTATAGTTAGTTCGCTGCTGAAGAGTCTCTTTTATCTGAGCAGTGTATCATGCAGGGGTTGGATGCATTTTACATAATAACACCCAGCTTGGAGGACATTCTCCTCTCTGCAATTTGCACCATTTAACTCCAATTTGAGAGACTCCTCAGCTGTGAATAGTAAGCAGATGATGACTCAGACCGCTGATGTAACAAATGCCAGTCTTCAGACAATCACATTACAGATGAAACTTCACAAAGCCACATGTGTACTAGAAAATAACATCTAATTGGAAAATTGTAGTTTTTGGGTTTCATAGCCATATCACGTTTGACAGTTAATGTGCGTAGCCTGTACTTTAAAGAAAATATATGACTTAAACAATGGCGTTAAATACAAAACACTTTGATTTTCACTCTGTTTTCATAAAATTCTTAATTTTGTGTTTGTTTGATGAATTTCTGACACATTGGTGCCCTTTTTCTCCAGGCTTGATGAGCTCGCTGTTCCGTGGCTTGCAAAGTCATCAGTCCACTGGTCCTACACACCTTCTTGAAGACAACTTTAGTGAGTTTGACTGCATTTTTCTTAATGATTTACAGTAGTATAAACCATACACTCTCAGAAAATACCAAATAACAACTTGTCACTGGGGCAGTACCCTTTCAGAAGATAATAAATATGATATATAGACTTTAGGTACTAATATGTACATTTAAAGTACTAATATGTACCTTTTAAGGTACTATCATTTACGTTATTACTATAGTACTATTTAAGGGGTAAATTAGATACAAAGTCTTATAGCTTTTGTACCCTAGGGTATCGCCCCAGTGACATTTATACCTGTTTTCTGAGACTGTACTGCTGTTTCTGCAGTATTAAGTACACTGTGAACAGTATGCGTATTGAACATCTATTTATTTGACTTGGACTGCCAAAAGGTACACACTTTTTTTTTCTTTTTTGAAAATATCTGTGCGAACTAATGGAATAATAATATGGCATAATGTGGAATAATGGATGTTGAGTAAAAGCTAGGTTATTAGCGAATCGATCTGAGATGGTTGTGTTTTGTTACTGTACACTGTACCTGCAGCAGTTAAGTAGTGACTGTCTTCTTTTATTCCTGTCTTTCTTCCTCACTTATTGACTGATGATTGCCCATCTGCTTTTTAAATAATTCAGCCAGACCCAGTTTCAACTACGATGACTTCTTCACTCAGAAGATTGTGGAAAAGAAGAATGACCATACTTACCGTATCTTTAAGACGGTGAACCGTTTTGCAGAGGTTTTCCCTTTTGCTGAGGACTATTCCATCCCTGGACGCTTGGGCTCCCAGGTGTCTGTATGGTGCAGTAATGATTACCTGGGCATGAGTCGACATCCCCGCATTGTCAAGGCCATAGGGTCAGTACATAAAACAGACAATGAAATAAATGTTTGCCATCATATGCTATTATACATAGAGAAGAACAAATGAAGGTGCAGCAAAATACACTATACTTATTTAATAAGACTATTATGTCTTATTAAATACTGTATGTGTATTTCATAATATGATAAAACAGTATGCTTTTAAGTTTCTTAATGTTTGACTTTGGATATACATAGCTGCTAAAACAAACTAACTGAGTAATCACAATCTTTTAATGTTTCTTAGAGAGGCTTTGCAGAAGCATGGTGCAGGAGCAGGTGGCACCCGAAATATCTCTGGGACGAGTAACTATCATGTGGCCCTGGAGAGTGAATTGGCCCATCTACACCAGAAAGATGGAGCACTGGTCTTTTCTTCCTGCTTTGTAGCCAATGATTCCACCCTCTTTACTTTGGCTAAAATGCTCCCAGGTATCCAACAAAACTGTTATGACCTGCCTGTTCTTACTGAATGTTTGAATTAATTAATTTATGAACTATACTGCTATTAAATTAAAAAATATTTTCAATATGCAGTACTGTTCAAAAGTCTGGTGTTGGTACAATTTTTAATGGTTTTGAAAGAATTATTTGATCAAAAATACACTCAAAAATGATTATAAAATATTATTAAAATAAATGTTTTCTAGTTTAAAAATATCGCACTGTTTAATATATTTGTTGAAACTGCCTGACATTTTTTCAAGATTTTTTGATGAATACAAAGAAAAAACAGCATTTATCTGAAATGTTTTGTAACATTGTAAATGTCTTTATTGTCAACTTTTGACCAATTTAATGCATCCTTGTTTAATAAATGTGACCCTGGACCACAAAACCAGTCATAAGGGTCAATTTTTCAAAATTTAGATTTATACATCATCTGAACAAATAAGCTTTCCATTGATGTGTGGTTTGTTAGGATAGGACAATATTTGGCCGAGATTCAATTATTTGAAAATGATGAATGCAAAAAATGAGGGTGAAATAAAAATTGAGAAAATTGCCATTAAAGTTGTCCAAATGAAGTCCTTAGCAATGCGTATTACTAATCAAAATTTACAAAATATCTTCATGGAACATGATATTTTCTTAATATCTTAATGATTTTTGGCATAAAAGAAAAATCGACAATTTTGACCCATACAATGCATTTTTGGCTATTGCTACAAATATACGTGTGCTATTTATATGTATTTTCTGAAATTCTACTAAAACATCTTCTCTCTGCAAAGGCTGTGAGATCTACTCAGACATGGGTAATCATGCCTCCATGATCCAGGGCATCAGGAACAGTGGGGCCAAACGCTTCATTTTCCGACACAATGATGCCAGTCACCTGGAGGAGCTGCTCTGCCGCTCAGATCCACTCACACCCAAAATCGTGGCTTTTGAGA